ATTGGAGAAGATGAAATTGTAGAACAATAAGGGATTAACATAAAAGGCCTCTGCTAAGACAGACTTTATCTGAGGGAAATTGGGAACCATGCAGAGTTTTAATTAGAGAAGTGACGTGAAGAATGTTCATGAGGTGAGCCGGGAACAGTGGCACATGCCTACAATCCCAGCGGCTCTGGAGATTGAGGCAAGAGGATCACGTGTTCAAAGCCAGCCTCAGCAGTGGCAAGGCACTAAGCAACCCAGTGAGACCCTGTCTTTAAGTAAAATACAAAATAGGGGGATGGGGCTCAGTCACTGAGTACTCCTGAGTTCAATCCCCAGTACCAAAAAAAAAAAAAAAATATTCATGGTATAGATTCCCTGTGACTGTGATTTGGACACCAAATTGAATAGAAGAAAATTAGAAGAAGAATAGGAGACTTTTTCAGTAATTCAAGAAAAAGTTAATGGTGATCTGAGGGAGGTAGGAGGTAGTAGATCGATTAACAATCTGTGACAGAGAAAGCAGTGATTCAGATTTTGTGTTGTTTGAAGCAGTGGAATACTGTGTTTTTTTCATACCTGGATTCTGAGAAGTGAATTGCCTTAGTCCAATTTCTATAACAAACTTCCAGAGGCCGGGGAATGCATGAAGAAAAGAGGTTTGGTCAGAACTGGAGGTGCAAGAGACTGATGCTGGCATCTGTTCAGCTTCTGGTGAGGGCCACTTGTTACTCAATTCACGGCAGAAAAGTGGAAAGGGTCTGTGTGGGTGCTGAAGGGGTCAAGCCTGCAGGCTGGCTTTCCATTTTAACAGCTCACTCTCACTGCCACCTATCCAGTTCCAAGAAAATGAGGATCACTCCCATAAAGAAAAAATGTTAATTTCTGTTAATGACCTAGTCACCTCCGACCATTGCCACCATGGGGACTGAGCTTTAACGTGAGTGTTGGTGGGGACCAGCAGTCTTCAGACCAGAGCTGGTCTGGTTGGAAGAATCGTGAATGTCTCCCAGATTTCCTTCTCTCTCTTGCGTCTGGATGGAAGTGGTGTTGCTCACTGAGTAAGAGAGCACAGGAGAAAGAGCAGTGGGCATTTTGTGGAATAGCACGACGGCTTTGGTTTTGGATTGGTCACTCTTGGGGGGCTCATGGAATATCCATGTGACCAGGCAGTGGAAATCTGAGACAGGAGCTCCAGGGCTGAATTGAATTTGAAGACAAGATTTTGGATATGTGTGTACAGTGATGATACCTGAAGGCACGGGGAGCACTGATTACCCCAGGGAGCACTGCCCACCCCAGGGAGCACTGGAACAAGAAGAGTACAGGTGTGTGGAGCGAACCCTGGGGAACCTTGAGATTTAAAAATAGGCATGGAAGAGAGGAAGAAAAGATCTATTTCGAGCAAAAGGAGGCAGTGGTAATATGTTGTCAGAAAAGCCAAGGTGGCAGGGCATTGCAGAGGGAGGAGACGGGCTATAGTGTCAGGCCCCAGAGTTCAGTGGGAGCCAAAGTGGTGGATGGGACTCAGTGACTTGGAAAGCATTGAGGTTCATAGTTTCTATAATTTTTTTTTTTTAACAATGAGCATAGTATTGAATGGGAGAGAAAGTAAACACAAATGGTGAGGATAAATAATTTTTTCATTCTAAATCAGTTATGGGAATTTTTCATAAGAATACATTAGCATTGATTTTTTTTTCATTGAAAAGGAAATCATATACGATTACTATTTTAAAGTAAATGATTCAGTGCATTCACAATGGTGTGGAATCACCTCCTTTATCTGGTTCCAAACTATTTTAAATCACACAAAAAGGAGAATCCATAGTCTTTTAGCAGTTGCTCCCCATACCTCACTGCCCTAGTGCCTGGGAACTATCAAGCTGTACTCTGTCTTTATGAATTTCCTATTCCAAATACACCGTATAGATGGAATCATGTAATCTGGAACATTCTGCATCTGATTTCTTTTACCTAACATAATATATTCAAGGTTCATTTATGTGGCATTTATTGGTACTTAATTATTTTTCACGGGTTGAGTAATATTCCTTTATATGGATATAGTATGACTTGTTTATCCATCATCTATTGATGAGCACTGGCTGGTTGTGAATATCATTCCCATGACCACACATGTCTGTTCATTTATTTGAATCCCCATTTTTGCTTCCTTTGAGCGTATCTCTAGGACTCGAATTGATAGAACAAACCATTTTTTCAGGACTACATTTTTATATACTGCCAGTGGAGAATCATCAGGAGGCATTGTGAATTGTACAAAAGTGACTTAAACAGTCTAAGCTCTTTGCATACTTTATTATTCCCTTTCAGACAGGATTGGTGAAACCACCATGTGGTAATTAAGCAGCCCATCAAGAGATAAGGTGCAAATATATGCAAGCATATATATATATATATATATATATATATATTTGAATATATATTCCTGCAGTATAGGCACATGTATATATATATATATTTAAAGGAAGATGTACTCATTAAAATCGAGTTTTTATTTTTATAAGAAGAAGCCACTGTAGGTGAAGAATGGAATAAACTAAGTCGTATAGGAGACAGACGATGGGAATAAGGTTGAATGTCTCATAGTTTAATGTTTCTGAAGAAAAGAGTGCGAGTTGCCCTCTAGTTGTTAGTAAGAAAAAGAGACGAACAAGGAGGTGAACTGAGAGCAACCATGGCACTAATTGAATAGCTAGCCGACTTTTAAAATTAAGGTAGTATTTTCCAAATCAACTTTTACTCATAGTCCCATAACCACTGACTCATCCATGTTTAATCTTATGGACTGAATTTCTCCACTCAGAGGCATCAGTGTAGATAAAAAGAGATTTGCATTCATTTATGACAATCTGGCTTCCTTGTGGCTCAGTTAAATAGTTCTTCACGAAATACAGATTAATGAATTCATGGAGACGTAGCATAATTACATGTCCTGTGAAATTTTTGATGATTTACAGCAACATTGATGCTATGTCCTCAGAACCATTATTTTCCCCCTGAAGTCTTTCCTTTATAGGAATCGATTATGGAACTGAGATTCTGCAGGATGTGGCTCTGGGCTTTATTCTCCAAACACTGCCTTCAGTCTCCAGAGAGGGAATAATGTTTGTTTGTCTGCTAAGTGTTTTATTTATCTGGGCTCATTAAAGCCGTAACAACCACCTAGAGATAGATCCATGGGAGGAATGTAGATGTGCTAACTCCAAAGTCAGGGTGCTAGTGGTAGGCTGAGGGTGCCTATGCCCAGCAGGAAGTAGGACTCTGGTGGTGGGCTTTGTGGGCTCCCCCAAGACAGGGAGTCTCTGCGTCTGACACACATTGACCATCCCTGAGCATGTCACAGTTCCTGTCACAAAATGATTCTGGGTGACTAATGATGAGAAATTAATTTCCTTATGAACAGTGTATCTGGGATAAGCTCATAGTTAATTAATGCTGGTTTGAAGGAGGTCCATTGGATTCTACCTCACTTCATCTAAATGATTCTATTCCGTGTAGGTGATCTCAGTAGATTAATCCCTCCGGCTGATGTATCTATTTCTGTTTGTGGCATGTGTTTGTTTCAGGCAGAGAAAGCTGATGGATTTGTGAACCTGCCCGATTTCACCGTGGAAAGAGCATCCGAATGCAAGAAAAAGCAGTAAGTCGTCTCTTACCCTCCACAGAACCCTGAGCTGGGATAATAACTGTTTTTAAGTCCACCAGGTGATGTGGTGATTTGGAAGTGAGTGAAGGCAACGCTTAGATGTCTGAGAATTTTGAGCATCATGGTTGGCACCCTAGACACTCAGAGAAATCTTTAACCTCTTGCTTCCTGGCATTGCATTTTGTGGAGCAGATGGTTTTTCAAAGCCCCATGAAGCCTTGGCAGAGAATGTCGTTGATAACTGAGTGTGCAATGGAGAGGAAAGTGTGCCCCCACCTGGGGCTGGCAAGGTCAAATGTCAAGGTTTTGACCTTGTAAAGAGAAGAACAGATGGTGAAGGAGTCTCACCGGATGACATTGAAGGCATCATGGTGGACCAGAACCTCCTTGCTCATGTAGCACCCTGGAAGTGAACTCTCTGAGATGTCTTAAACTTGGGATTGCACCCTGATGTAGTTTACGTCCCAGAGATTTGATAACTGGCAGAAACAGAGCAGTCCCCTGCTCACAGTGCTTGTCTCCTAAGGAGGGAACAGCCTGGAGAGTCTGTGTGACCCGCCCAGGGCTCTGGGCAGAGCTGGCTCTGACTCTGGTCCCCAGCCTCTTAGTCAAGTGCCCTCCCGTGAGAGCTCCTGATGTAGTTTGCTCTTTCCGTCTTCTTGCACCTCTCCTATCCTGTCTTCCACCTTTGGCATCTTTTCTAGTCTTATCAGAAAGGGGCATTTCCTTGTTCGTCTGTTACTAGTTGCAGTAAATTGTTGTTTTCTCATAAGAAGTGAATAAACCAGTGTTGGCCCTAATTCTTTGACACTCTGGCCTAGCAGTGTGTTTCGTGATACATGTGGTGTGTTGATGACTGTGGGTTTTGAGTGGGTCTTTAAAAAAAACAAAACTGTCCTGTGCTGCAGGACTTCCGGTCTAAATGGTAAAGGGGAAATACTTTATTGTTTGTTATCTTCAATGTTTCATATGTCTTCTTTAAACCCAAATCCACTTCCCATGTTCCCTTTAATAATGAACGGTGCCTTAGATAAGGTTTCTGAGGACTTGTTGTGTGTGGAGGTTCCATATCTGATTATTTTCCTGTAAATAAAATTTTGCTGTAGATTTGATTGAATTTGAATCAATGCTTACTGTGAAGGCGTTGATATGAGTATTTGACACCTCTGTGAACCTAAATTCTAACTTACTGTATCCTTATCGTAAAGCAGTTAGCAAGTGGAAACAAAAGGTTATGCCCTTATGTTTTAAATGGAAACTAACACTAAGATGCAGCCTTGACATGGAAATTGACCATCAGCACCCTAACTAAAATAAGGACTAGACAATAGGTATTTAATCGAATAATTTTTTTGGTAAACTTATAAAGAAAGCAGTTATTTAAGATGACTGTTGTGTTTGTATTTTACTTACTTACAGACCCACTGATAAATACTAATTCTTATATGTTTGTGTTTTTCCCTTCTCAAGTGCATTTAAGATCAACCATCCACAGATCAAGACCTTCTATTTTGCAGCTGAGAATTTGCAGGAAATGAACGTGTAAGTAGAAGAGCTTGCTAAATCCAGTCCTTAATGGAACAGACTTGCCTTGGCCAGGCCTTGGAATTTGTAGCCTATGTTTGTATTAATTATTGTTTTATTTCTTTCTGTTATTTAAGAATTAATTTCCTTAGCAGTTATAAAGTCTTCTTGCTGTCTTCTATGTTCAGAAGCATTTTGAAGAACCACACATATCCGAATGGCTACTTTAGGGAAGAAGTGGTCAGATTGTTCTGAGGGCACCACTAGGTTGAGGAAAGAGTAGACGGAAGTCATGGTGAGAACATATTAAAATGAGGATCAGCATTACAAGGAGAATAACGTAAAGGTATTTTGTGACTGATTGTGTAGCTTTCCACATGTAAAACTCCCTCTCTACTGCATTTAATATGTGCTGTGTGAATACCATGGTGATTCACGATTTATCACTTCTTCATGCATCATTCTGAACATTTTGTAAAATGTCCTTGCTGAGAGCGTCTATCATTTAAAAATTTTACATCCAGAGCTTCATTTCCTGTTTGGTCTGTTTAAATAAGTGCGCTTTAGGCCCTCTGTCCCCTCCTGGTTTAGATTAAGGCACATGACGATGGCTGCTGTTTGAATGAGGCTGTATCTCAGGGGCTGACTTGAGGTGTTCCATTTAATTTTAGCCTTCTTCCCATAATTCCTAGTGTCTCTTATTACCTTCACCTCACCAATTAAAATATGTTTATGAAACACAACACTGTGTGCCCCACGGCAGCAGATGATGGGTGGTAGCAATAAACACACACTCAGCTCCTTCATTCATAGAGCTTATGCTGAAAACCTGCTTTATTTGTACCTAATAAAATCCTTATTTATCTGTATCTCATGTACTTGCCGTCTCATCTTAGAAACTTCAAGAAAATAATATCTAGCTTTCATCTCCCCCTCCCCACCCCCAGACACACACGTCTCTCTTTATAGTCCTGTCTAGCTAGGAGCATTGGTGCTTGCCCCCTACTCTTACCTCCCTGCCGTGTCCCTTCAGTTGAGGGCACAATGACTCACAGGTAGTTGGGAAATCCTGTGTTTGGCATAATGAGGCATGGCTTTGACAACTGTCTTCCAAACATGTCCTTGGCTGACTGAGTTAAGGACAAAAGTTTCTCCCCTTTTTGATTTTAGCTTTTTTCCATGGTCTTTTTTCAAGCATCTGAGAAAAATTAAGAGCAGATACGCAAAAGGAGAGGAAGTTTAGCATTTCACAAAGTTCTATCCTTATCTTTTCATTTGCACTGTGAGCCGGTCCTTTGGCTAGCCAGCCCTTGCTCGGTAAGGTGTGGGTCAAGGCACAAGGTCTAGCCTGAGGTGCTTGGTACCCTGTGATGGTGAGTGCCAGTCTTGCCGAGCCACCAGTGAACTCTCAGTGGTCTTTACTGGCAGGGAGACTGTGCTGCCTGCCACCCACTCACAGTGGCCTCCTGCTGTCCTGGACTTCTCCCCTCTATAGGTGTCTTGTATCTCATCGTCTTTCCCACCCATCCTGGGTCTGATTCTTTCAGGGTACTTCTGTTTTCCCCAGTAAGGTGTCAGTGAGACTGAGCTTCTCAGAGAAACAATCCCTTCTAAATGTTTTGTCAGCTACTGAATTTTTCCTCCAACCCAGTCAAATACATTCTTCAACTAATAAGAGGCAAGACCCTTAGTGCCTTCACTCAATCCATCAGATTTCAGATTATAATTAGCTCTTTGAATCACATATCACAGTTATTTAGCCTCCTGCCTCCCTACCCCACCAACTATCTGATTTTCCTGTACATATCCATTTGGTCTTCTATGTTTTTGTGCTCCATTTGCAGATATTCATTGAATGGCAACTCATTTGCATGTGTAGTAATGTGTGCCTGTACTCAGTGTGTTGGCTGTTAAATCAAAACTTGTCACAGTTATCAAGCCAAGGTCTTACTGCTCATCTATGTTGCGAAGAGCTGTTATTTTACTTGAAAATTTCTTAGTGTTCCTCTTTCTAACTTACAAGCAAGATATACATTGAAATTTGAAATTAGAGTGTCTTAATTCCCTGTTTCTGAATCTCTGTAGTGACATTTATGCTTGAAAATTACTCATCTGGTCACTCATGGGTACATGGCCTATTTTGTCTATGCCTGACTATATCATGATTTCTTTATATGTAATGAGTATATGTAAATAAAGTATGAATAGTATTATGGAATTTTATTATTCTGAAGATGATTTTTTTAATAGCCAATAATGCAGAATCTCTAGGCTACCAAGTTAACTTTTTTCTACCACCTGAAGATCTTCCCTTCTGTTGACGTAGTCTGTTTACACCAGTCCATAATGTTTCTGGTGAGATGCAGAGATGTGAGGGAGAGAGGAGGTGGTATGGCAGAGATGGGCTCTGGTGCAGATGTTCATCTCCTGGGTAACTGTATTTCTGGGTAGTAACATTTCTCTCAAGGGCGATGAAAGGAAAGGTAATTAAGTTTAATAGAATCTTCTCATGTTCTGCAGCGACCCTCAATTTACAAGTACTGGGTAAGTAATTAAGGGTAATGAAAGAGCTGGTTTCTAGGCAAAGACAGGAGATTGATGCTTTCTAGATGGTGTTTGTGGGAAGAACGTTCTTGTTTTTTACATCAATTTCCTAATACTTGTGCTCCAACTCGTACATTCTCATCAAATTCATAGACAACAAACTCTCGGGAGACACCTGCCATCTTCTTTTGTGTAAATATAAGTCCCTTTGTGCATCTATTTAGCCACAGACGTTTTTGTACTACCATAAGGTTATAGAAAATTCCCAGCAAAGGAGGTGCTCTAAGCCAATGGGTTCTAGAAAGACAACTCTCACTCGGGTTAAGAACAATCACTAATCCTTGCAGCAGCTAACTAATGGTGGCAAGGAAGAGTGCATGAAGTTTGGGGTGAAAGTGGAAAGGAATCTTTAGTCAATACTCTTCCACTTTGCAATATTTTCATGTTTTGGATAGAGGCTTAGAAATGCATTCTCTTATTTCAGGCACCCTCAATTCAAAACTATTTTCTTTTTACTTTTTTAAAAAAAATTTTGTCTATTTCACTTTTAAATGCTTTTTTGAGGGGGGCAATAAATGGTTATTATAGTATTTTAAGTAGTGAATGAAATTTATTGTGTTTTGCCTCATCAAGTTTTTAAGATGTTGGGCTGGGATTGTGGCTCAGCGGTAGTAGAGCGCTCACCTAGCATGGGTGGGACCTGGGTTCAATCCTCAGCACCACATAAAAATAAATGCATTGTGTTGTGTCCATCTACACCAAAAAATAAATTTAAAAAGTTTTTAAGATGTAATCTTTAATAGTAACTACTATTACTTGTACTTCAGTAATGTATAAAACATTCTTGTAAAAAAATCAAACAATGCCTGGGGTTAACCACTTTTAATAACATGATGTATATCCTTCCTGACACTTTTCTATCACAGCAATTCATGCACTTATACAAATATATAATTTTAAAAATACATTAGAACAGCTAAACATATTTGATACTTGGTCTTTTCAATGAATCATATGTTGGGATTTTCCGGGTTATTATAAGCAATCCCCTTAGTCTTTTAGTAGCTTCATTATAACATGGTGTCAGTAAAATCAGTGTCATAATTTATGTATCCATTTTATTTTTAGTGGACAATTATATTGTCTCAATGTTTTTCTCTTTCTGCTATTATAAGCCTCATTGGCAGTTAACATTTTCCCGTGTTTCTGTAAATGAAGATAATGTTTTAAGGTATAAAATAGACATTTATAATTTAATTTTTGGAAAAAAGTGTGGATATTTAAAATTTGAATAATAACATCAAATTGCCTACTCAAAATCGGCTGTATTGATTTTCATGTTTAATGCAACAATGGATGAGAATGTCCATTGTTCCATTTTCTCCTAAGCACTAGAAATCAATATTTTTTCTTTTTTTGATTTTACTTTTTAGTTGTAGTTGGACACAATATCTTTATTTTATTTATTTTTATGTGGTGCTGAGGATCAAACCAAGGGCCTCACACGTGCTAAGTGAGTGCTTTCCCCTGGGCCATAACACCAGCCCTAGAAATCAACTTTTTTAACTTTTCCAATCCAGTAGTGAATATATTTTCCTGTGTTTAGCTATGAATTTTCTAAAATGCTCTTGAAGCTGGATAATTTTTCCATTTATGTATTGAGTTTTTTTTTTTTCTGTGATGTTTTCTGATCATTTGCTTTGCATAGTTCTCTACTGGGATTTGATCAACATTTTGGGGTTTCTATGGCAGGGTCTGGGCTCCAGTCTTGGTTATTTTGTGCTCATCTTTTTTCTTGTAGAATCTCCTGTTTTATATATTTTGAAAATTAAATTTTTTTTTTCTGTTAAAAAATAATGAATATAGTCAGGTCATTGCTGGCCGATGATCAGGTAAGGATTTCTAAATAGTTGACAGTTATGGGTCAGAGTGTGCAATCTGTGGACCACGGTGTGAGTGCAGGGTGCTGAGTGAGGCCTGAGGCGTTGTAGGACTAGAAGCAATGAAAGTGAACATGAATCCAGAGATACAGAGCACTATTGCTGTTATTTTATTCATATTGATTGACTTAGGTCACTGTGTGATGATCATTTCTCAAAAAAAAAATAGAATACACAGTATGAATATTTTAAAACACACAGAAAAGTAGAAATAAATCACCTGGATAGTCACTGCCTCCAAGCCACATTTTTCCTTTAAGCATAACATTACATAACTAGAATTTATGAAATAGACCCATTGCGTCTCTTAGCTTTTAAAATTCGTGTTTTAAAGTGAATTCATAGCAAAAATCTTAAGAAGGAACTACTGTGGCCTCAAATTATAAACCAAGTATGAGTTCCTTAGGGTTTGCCTAGTAGTACTATTTTTGTTATTGAAGTTTAATTGGACTTCATTGTCAATAAGATGAGAAATCAATAGAATAGAGAAGATGGTCAATTTTTATTTTAAATAAAATTTTTCAAGGAATGGATTTCCCCAGTTTAGAAATAACCTTCAGCCTTGGGGGCAGATCTTTTACTGATTGATGTGGTAATCTTCCTGGTTTTAAATCGAAGGTCTTTATATTTTCTAAAATAAATTGACATCATTAAAAGTGATAGATATAGCTTTAGTGAACAAGTTACTACATTCAATGGTAAATTTTTTGATGGTTACTAAAATTTTCAAGTGCATAATTTGTATTTTTTTATGTATTTTTATTTATGTATTTAGAATACCTAATTTAGCTGCCTGCCTTAACCAGCTGCATGAGGGCCATCTTGCTTATCTCACAGAGCATACTCTGAAAGGAAAGTATGAAACTAGAGGCCTTATTTTATTTTGTTTTTTTGGTACTGGGAATTGAACCCAGAGGTGCTTAACCACTGAGCCACATCCCCAGCCTTTTTTATATTTTATTCAGTGGCAGGACCTCGCTGTGTTGCTTAGTGTCTTGCGAAGTTACTGAGGCTAGCCTTGAACTTGTTGTCCTCCTGCCTCAGCCTCCCGAACTGCTGGGCATGCTCATCATGTTCAGCAGAGGCCTTCTGTTTTGATGCCCTGAACTTATGCTGATTCTTGAAATGTTCAGGCTGACAGTTGAATCAGGACTGACTTTCATGATGGAGTCTGGCACAAGACCCACCCTCAGGTGGTCCAAGGGGGAAGGTGTGAGGGAAGGGGACCAATCTCTTTGGTCTAACATGTACTTTCTACTTGAATCCCAGGTGGTTAAATAAACTCGGAATCGCTGTGATCCATCTTGAATCCACTACAAAGGATGAAGGTATATTCCATTCTAAAGTTCTGAAAAAGTAGCCAGAGAATTAGACTAAGATGAGAAAAACAATATCAAATTCTATATATAGTCTGATCCTGAGGAAACAGTTTGGCATTTGAAATGATCTGAGTGTAGAGACAGACACATTCACACAGACTCCCCAACAGAGACGAGAGCTTCCCGGGCCGGCTCTGAATGATTTCACACTTCACCCACACTTGAGCAGCTGTAGGCTTCACTGATATCTCAGGCAATTGCCAATGCAAATGTTTTATTGCTCTACTTAACTGAATTCTTACTCATACCCGTGAACTTGTCATGATCTAGGCAGATAACTTTCATCCCACTGTTTCCTCTCTGATATTTTAACATTTCCGCCAGGTGTGTGCTGTGAGTGATTACCCCAAGATTGTACTGGGAACCTGAAGGTCAGATTGGGACACAGGCCGTATTTTTAGCATACTCTGTAGCTCTCAGGGTTCAAAAGCTGCGGGAGTCTAATTCTTCCTGATGCAATTACTCCGTGCTGTGCAGAAGAGGGCGGCTTTGCGGGCTGCCAGGGCCACGGAACTGAGACTGTCCCTGAAATGCTCAAACCACATCCAGAGTCAATTCTAGACTGAGGAGTTGGAAATAGGGAGTTTTATTTTTTTGATGACAAATTTTTACAATCTTAAATTTAGAAAGGGAACAGTGGCAAAATGACTTAAAGCCATGAAGGAGTCCAATACGATCTCCTCAAATAAGATCTTGTCCCCCAGACTTTCAAAAGCTTCATTTTCAGTGTGCCTTGGGGGTCTCTATATATCCCGTTCTCCCCGCTGACTTGGCCTGTTGGTCCCTTCCCTGTTGGCCCACTCCTGATGGCTTGGGTGCCCAGCCAGCTTCAGCTCACTCAATTCATGAGGTTTCCTATCATCAAACATATTCCCCATTGACCTTCTTCCTAGTGTATGAATTCTTTCTTTGAGGAGTTCTTCTATTTTCCCTGAGCTCTGGTTGGTCCTCTTCATGCCTATGGGATGTTCTTGGAGAGCAGAAACCCAGAGGGGCCATTTGTTTCTCCATCTTCAGTAATTCCTTTGTACCAAGTATTTCACTAGATTTGTTTTTTTTTTTCTGAATTGGATTGAAATTGCAATAGCTAGATGGAGAAAAACCTATGCTCATACATTATGGAATAAATGATGGCAGCATTTAAACATGAAGTGTTTTCGTTTTTGTTACAGAATGCTACAGTGAAAGTGAGCAGGAGGATCCTGATATAGCCACGGAGACTCCGCCCCCTCCTTACTCTGCCACTTCCTCTCCTTTGGTAGGTGCAGACGTCAGTGGTCTGTTGGTCAGTCTTTCCTTCCAAGTAGGCAGAAACTACTTTGCCTGATACAATTTTTTGAACAGGCTAAATTAAGGTATCTGCCAAAGAGCAAGTGGGTTCTCAAGGTGCTGACTCTGAGCCTTCTCTAGAGCTACTCACTGATCTAACAAACATGTTAGACCTGCATCTGTGCAGGTTGCACAGAAGTATCCTGCTCACAGGATTCATGGAAGGGCAAAGGGTGTCGAAGTAGTAATCCAATACTTGGAATGACTTGCTTTGCAATGTTTTTTAATACCCTGTAAAGAATGGCCTCAGAAAGAATTTAAAGCACCTTACCTAGGTGCCTGTAATATAAGAATGCAAAATGAAATTAAAGAGGATAAAAAATAGCATAAAAATAAAAGTAGAGTCAGAAAAATAAGAAGTCAAGAGTGGGGTTATTGCATTAAGATTGTGTGTGGAATAATTTTGCGATTCAGTAGCGAGCAATCCAAATTTGATTCTAGGCTTTGTGTGTGTTGGTATTATTTACAGGTAGTAAGACTAGAGAATTGCTTCATATTTGGATGGATAATCCCTTAGAAAGGGTCAGAGAAGGAAGTAGATTTAAGTTTTTATTTATTTGATTAATTTGATTTTTTCCTGTATGTGTGTGGTTCAACCCAGGTCCTCATGCATGCTATGCACAAGATGTACCACTGAGCTACAGCCTCAGTAGGCTTTTTTTTTTTTTTAAATATCTTCTATGTACTAGGACTTATGTAAATGCCCTAAATATATGATCATTTAATCTTCTAACAACTTTGAGAAGTAGCATTATTTAATTTGCATTTTACTGATGACTAATGGCATCATTATGTGTTTAATACTATTCAAGTGACATCTTTTATGTTTATTGGCCATTTGCATTTTCTCTTTTGCAAAGTGTCTGTTAAGCCTCTGGGTATTTTAAGTTGCTGCTGCCTCCTCCTCCTCCTGTTCCTCTTTTTATGTTTAATTTATAGCATTTCTTAGAAAATTTATTATTATATATATTAGTATTATATATACTAGTCATGTGCATTATATGTCAAATAAAATATATATTTGTCAGCTAAAAATGATCAAATTTCACTTGTTAACTCTTTAAACTCTTTCATACTTTCTTTTTATAAACAGATGTTCTTGCCATTAATGTGCCAGATTTATCCATTGCTTCCATTTGGTTAATGTATTTTTTTCCTGGATTAAGAAATGTTTTCTTCTGCTGAGGCTGTGAGGAAGTAGATGTCATTGTCTTATGGTTAGGAAACAGGTTCAGAGGTGTTGAGTGGCAGGGCCAGACCCCCCAGCGGACAGCGCCTGTTGGGGAATTGAGGCTACTCTGGCTGGGGAGTGAGTGCTCTTCCCACTTTCCCTTTGTGCTTGTCCATCCACAGAGCCAAAGCTCATGGAGGGCTTGTTTGGTATCAGATAAATGAAGGGATGCTTATGAGAGCAGTGAACCAGGCTGTTAAACTTTAAAGATTCTTTAGAATTTTCTGAGTCATCCATCAAATGTTATTTCCTAATATCCTCTAAGTTGATCAGTTTTTGACAGTCCATTAAGGCTAACATTTACTCAAGAAATATATTGGAAAATAGTCAGATAAATGTTGAATAATCAGATTTTTTTCCCCTTAGTAACAGAATGTTCCTCCTGCTCACATATTTTCCAGGCAGATTATGTTTTTGTTTTCTCTTGTTTTGAAAAACAGACAAGCAAGGCACTTAGTTAAAATAATATTGAGCTTTTAAAAATGTAAACGGCTGAAGTTTAAGAAATCCTGGTAACTTTTATCTAGTGCATGAAACTAGGTATTGTTTGGCTGGAAATTATATAGGTTAGCCATGAATTGGATATACAAGCCTAGGGTGAAAATAATTTTTTTTCTAAGTTCTTGCTTTAGAAAGTATTTTGGGTAATGGATTTTCATTTCATGATGATGAACTCAACTATTATTAATATTAAATAATTAATATTATTAAATATTATTATTAATGAAAATCATCTAAAAAAATTTTAAGTCTTGAAAGAAAGGAATCGATTCAATGTACATCCATTCTAATAGTTGTAAAGAAAAGCAGTGAAACTTGAACACCAAACCAGTTTGGGCTTCTGCTCCTAATGAGCTGAATGATATTCCATAAGGGAATGAAGACATTTAGGGATGCTCCTGTCGTGAAGAGGAGGTTTGGTTCATGTTCCTTCATTGTGAGCAGGCTTTACAGGATTGAGAGTGGGAAGGACACTGTTTATCCTCAAAGGAATTAGAAATGGGTTATTTTTTCCACAGACTTATTAAAAGACTCAAAATAGATGGGGGCTGGGTGCCGTGGCGCACACTGTAATCCCAGCAGCTTGGGATGCTGAGGCAGGAGGATCACGTGTTCAAAGCCAGCCTCAGCAATGGTGAGGCACTAAACTCAGTGAGACCCTGTCTCTAAATAAAGTGCAAAAAATAGAGCTGGGGATGTGGCTCAGTGGGGGGAGTGCTCCTGAATTTAATCCCAGGCTCCCCACCCCCCAACAAAAAGAAAAACAAAAAACCCCAAAACAAAATAGATGGGGATCTGTAAGTTTCACCTTAAAAGATTATTTGTAGAAATAATTATCCAGGATTCTTGAAATTTATAAGAGAGCAAGAAAAGCTTCATTCATGTTGCAAGCCTAATTTTCTAAGTTACAAAGTGATTTAAGAGCTGTAAGCATCACAAAAAATCTCCTCCATGTATTTTTTTTAATTTTTAAAAAGTGTTACCTGATAAACTTACCTGTCCTTTTCTGCTCATTCATTCATTTAAGAGGGGTTCCTAGAGTATTGTGGACCCCTCTCTTGCTACTTGGGGCACATCAGTGAATAAAGCAGGTAACGGTTCACATTCTGCATGGAGCCACCCTGGTAGTGGAGGGAGATGAATTGTCAACAGTCAACATATGAAGTAAACTTGTGCACTATCGGTGGCACTAGAGAGGAAGAGCGAGGAGATTGGGAATCCTGGGGGGTAGAGATTGGGTTGTGACAATGGACAGGAGTCCAGGATGTCCCCATTGAGAGCTTAGATCGGAGCAGAAATCTTGAAAGGCACTTTGGGAATTGGCTGAGGGGGTATGTGAGGAAGGAGTTTCCCTAGCAAATGTGTCAGAATCAAGGTCTCTTGGTGCAAAGTCATGCAAGGAGGCCAGTGTGGCAGGAGCAGGGTAAACCAGGATGAGAATGGCAGGAGGCCAGGTCAGGGGGTGGAGGTGGCCACACTGTAGGGGGCCTGTGGTCTAGTGAAGGGCTTCCATGTTCTGGTGGAGTTGTTTAGGGAGCCTTTGGAGGGTTGGAGAGTAGAGGATGTGATAATTTCCATTTTAAAAGGACCCGGGGAGGGTGTGTAATAATCTACAGTGAAAGATGGCAGTGATTCCATGGGGGGTGGGTAGTGGGGTGGTTGCAAAAGGAATGGTTGGATTTTGACTATATTTGGAAGTTTGAGCATCAATAGGTGGGTCAAATATGAGAGAAGCAGGGATGAATAATTACAGTCTGAGCTTCAAATAGCCCTTGAAGATCATTTTAATGTAACAGTCCTTAAATTTTGATCCTTTTTAGAAGTATAATTCCTTTATATACAAATGTTGAAAAAAAAAAGAGTCAGCTAACGGAAACTAAAGAAGCAATAAGTAAAAATAAATCCTGCTGCCTGGCTCATTGGCCAGTGACAGAGGAGGAAGTTGAGGATTAAACACAGAAAGGGTAAAATTAATTTTAGAAATTCAGATTTAATTCTGACAGAATGGATCTTGAATAGCTGTCTGCTAAAGGTCACGTTATCTTTCAATATCTTCACTAGATGAAATGGTAGGAATGCTTGCCTGTGTACAGTTGTATGAAAAATTATCAGAAAAAAAGGAAAATTCACTCTTTTCCTTCAAGATGCAAATAATCATAATGATCATCATCATAATCATAAGCTCTGTGATTGAACACTGAACTGACTTTAAGACTTTTCTAAAATTTACTTGTATATTTTTGCCTCTTGCCTGACCGGTTCATCTTTGCAGCTGACTCCCCAATCACAGAGCATCGTGCCTGCCCCACCACCTCTTCCCATCTTCCTGCCCTAGTCCAGGCCCTCATTAACTCCTGCAAGTTATTGAAATAGCAGGCTGTTTTTCTCTTCCTGCCTCTAGTTGCTTTCTCCTGTTAAAAACCACCTCTGAATTGTTCTTCCTGAAGTTCGGGTCTAAGAAGATGGATTCATTACACACAACCTTTCACTGAATCTCTTTGCTTATAACATTAATTCCTGACTCTTTGCCTTGGTCTTTGAGGCCCTGGGATTTTTCAAGTAACCTTTACAGTCTTCTTGCCCATTTCCCCTTTGCCTTTGGTCCAGGAAACTGCCTGCTATTTTCCAAGAGCTTTTCACTCTTTCCTGCTCTTGTGCCTATAGTGAGAAGTTTCTGGACTTGCAGGAACCACTTGTCCCCGTTCCTACACCAGTCCCCCCTTCTACATGCCTTTCAAGCCTGCTTCTTCAGCTGTGCCTTCCTTCACAGAAGTGGCCTAGTCGTCTGTATCAGGAGGAGTCTGCCTTTTTCTGAACTCCATTTCTGTAGCATTTTGTTTTTTTGATGCTTTTTCATGTTATCATAATCTGCCTTCTATGTTAGATTTTGCATATCTGACTTATTTTTCTAATTATTAGAATTTCTTTTTATTTGTTTATGTGGTGCTGAGGATTGAACCCAGGACCTCGCACATGCTAGGCGAGCACTCTACTGCTGAGCCACAACCCTAGCATAATTATTAAATTTTTAGAATCAAAGGTGGGGCAGCTGGGGTTGTGGCTCAGTGGCAGAGCGCTTGCCTAGCATGTGTAAGGCGCTGGGTTCGATCCTTAGCGCCGCATAAAAATAAATAAATAATAAAATAAAGGTATTTTGTCTGACTACAAAAAAATATTAAAAATTAAAAAATCAAAGA